TTTTCTCAAAATTTCTGCAATGAAATGCTTAGATCAGCACATATTCGGAAAGTAGAAGGAATCACCTTTCTAACGATACCTTCCATATACGCGTATCCTTTTTTGATCCTGAGATATAGGCCAAAACATATTTTGTCCTTTAAAATCGTATTTTTCGATGATAAATTTTTTTCTCAAAATTTCTGCAATGAAATGCTTAGATCAATACATATTCGGAAAGTAGAAGGAATCACCTTTCTAACGATACCTTCCATATACGCGTATCCTTTTTTGATCCTGAGATATAGGCCAAAACATATTTTGTCCGATGATAAATTTTTTTCTCAAAATTTCTGCAATGAAATGCTTAGATCAATACATATTCGGAAAGTAGAAGGAATCACCTTTCTAACGATACCTTCCATATACGCGTATCCTTTTTTGATCCTGAGATATAGGCCAAAACATATTTTGTCCTTTAAAATCGTATTTTTCGATGATAAATTTTTTTCTCAAAATTTCTACAATGAAATGCTTAGATCAGCACATATTCGGAAAGTAGAAGGAATCACCTTTCTAACGATACCTTCCATATACGCGTATCCTTTTTTGATCCTGAGATATAGGCCAAAACATATTTTGTCCTTTAAAATCGTATTTTTCGATGATAAATTTTTTTCTCAAAATTTCTACAATGAAATGCTTAGATCAGCACATATTCGGAAAGTAGAAGGAATCACCTTTCTAACGATACCTTCCATATACGCGTATCCTTTTTTGATCCTGAGATAGGCCAAAACATATTTTGTCCTTTAAAATCGTATTTTTCGATGATAAATTTTTTTCTCAAAATTTCTACAATGAAATGCTTAGATCAGCACATATTCGGAAAGTAGAAGGAATAACCTTTCTAACGATACCTTCCATATACGCGTATCCTGTTTTGATCCTGAGATATAGGCCAAAACATATTTCGTCCTTTAAAATCGTATTTTTCGATGATAAATTTTTTTCTTAAAATTTCTACAATGAAATGCTTGGGTCAATTCATATTCGGAACGATTTTCTCAACAAATTCTTTTTTGCAATAAATGTAATGCAAAAATGTTTATAGTCATAATTCTTACACATTGACAATTTAAATTATGTATTTTCATTTCATGTGTTTATTTCTGTATTAGTATTTTATTTACTAGGGGATAATAAAAATCGTTTTTCGTATATCAAACAAATGACTTAGATTAAAAGTCTAACATGTTGAAAAACGTTTTTATTATAACCTAGAAAATCGTTTTTATTTTCCGCTCATATACAAAAACGTTTTTGAACTGTTATACACTGTTATACAACTGAAAGTGTTCGAAAATTAAAAACGTTTTTATCTTCACGCACATAAAAATTAGTTGGTATTTTGTTCCTCTTCGGCGAAATGACAAAGACAACATCAGCAGCAGCTGCTCGAAACATCTGTTCGAGCTCATCTTGTATGTCTCAAGGCAATCTTCTTTTCTTGTATGACAGTCCAAGAAACAAACCAAACAAAACATTGAAAAGCCTGAAACCCACACAAACACAAACCACCCACACACACACATAACAACAGACAGACATTAGAACATTAAATGGGATGGCATGTAAAACAACCATCCTCTATATGAATAAATTAGTCCACTAACGAAGCACAGGGAGAGCAAAAACAAAAACAGCAACTACAACAAGGATACAAACAAAAACAAAAATAGTAACAACAAATCTGAAGAGTAGTAATTGTGCATTTGTAGGACACGCATTTGCCAATTGAATGTCATAGCCGAGTTTTTTGGGGGCAAAAATACATTGACTCATTGCTTTACTCTTACTTTCGCTGCTCTCTGTTTACTCAACACCAGAGCTTTTCAAGTTGCAGAGAGAAAGAGAGAGGGTGAGAGAAAAGCTTTATGGGCTAAGGCTTACAATCCGAGTGTTTGAATGTGTATGTGTGTGATTTCTGTATTTTTTTTCTATTTTGGCCAGCACTGTATAGAAATGTGTTACAGTTTTTGTTGTTCCAGTGTATGTGTTCGTGTGTGCGTGCGTGTGTCTGAAGCATCTACAGCACAATCGTTTTAAGGATAATGGCACAAATTTCAGTTTCATTTCGGTGCTGGTTTCGAGAGTTTGTCACCTGTTTCGAGCGCGCCATCAAAATGTTTGGCTAAAGGAATTAGGAAACGCCAGCCGACCGACACACAAACGGACGCGTCGTGAACTTGACACACTAACCAAACAATCAGAAAAAAAGACAAATTCAAATCTTGGCCGTTAAACCGTTATGCTGAGCGATTTTTTTTGTCTTGCCCTGTCTTGCCCATGATTGTGTATCCCGAAGAATATCCTTAAAGTGTTCCAGATTTTGTTGGCAGAAAAATAAATTGTTCTTTTTCGCTGGTTTTTTGCTTCGCTTGTCGCCCTAAAAAACAAAAAACGGAATATTATTAAGTTCTTTGCGATGTGATACATCTGACAGCAAGCGTTTTCTAGTAAAGCTATTACCGGGCTCTTGTTTGTTTGGAAAGGAATTTGGCCCCAAGTTATTGTCAAGTTACCACCATAAATAGTTCCGTCTGGGTGGCATCTGTGATGTGAGTGTCCAATACCAGCACGCGTTGCAAAGAAAAGTGTCTGTCCCCCCCCCTCGTATTTAGCATGGTGTTAGTGTCAATTTGTGTTTGTGTTCCTTTTGCTGCTGAATAAGTGATCACGCACCACATAATGTTATTTGCATAAATATGCATAAACTCTTCTTGTCCCGCTGTGCTATCGTGTTCGAAAAAAAAAATAGAAAAATAAAAATTCCAATCTGTAAATGATGGTGTGCATTTTGTTTGGGGCCAAATAAAATATATGATATCTATTTAAGCACGTTGTCTTCCTTCGCTTTGCTAAGAGTCGACTTAAAGTGCTGTGAAAAAAATGTAAAATAAAAAAAAATAATAAATAAATAAATTCATTGGAAACGTCGTCAAAAATTAATTGCTTTGGAAGCAGATTGTTCGAATAAAAATGTTGTGTTAAGAAAAATCCTATCCTTTTTTTTGGGCATCTAAGTGCACCATAAAATAGTTATTTATAGAGGTACGCGGTACATTAATGATGATTTTTATCCGGGGATATTGTTTTCTTTTTTGTTGGGAAGAAATAAATTGCAGTTAATTGCTAAACACGCTATGGGTGATTCCATTTAAAAGTCTCAAAATATTATTCTGAAATGATGAGGGGAAATAGAAAGGTCTTAGATTTCAATCCAACAAATCAAACTAACTTTTTAACAAATATTGTAAAAAAAGGCATATATTTTTAGACCCTTATAGTTTCATGACCGGAGTAAATACACATTAATGTGGATAAATCTATGAAATCGGAAGTTCATTCTGGTCTCAAACATTGTAAAAAAACAAAGGTAGTTTAAAAGAAGTTAGAAATGTTTATTTGACGTTCCGACAGATATAAGCCCTCAGATTGTGTAGGATCAAAAGATTATACCTTTATATTCCATCATCATCATGTTTTGATACATTCATGTTGTCCAATTGGGATATACGAATTCTGGAGAGAATCAGATACTGATTTTACATTTTAATCGAGTTATTATTATTATTCACGTTTTAGGTGAGGTATTGGCAGTAGGCCGATATTTTAATGAAAGCTATAGAATTTCGTTTAATATGGGTCTTTTATGCTTGCTTCGCAATTTTTTTGTAGTTTTACAAGTACAAGGTGAGATAAAAAACTGCCACAAACTCAAACGAAATAATTTTTAAATTTTCTTAAATTTTATTGAATGAGAGCAAAAAATGTCGGAAATAGCATCAAATTTTAGAATATGTTTAGATTTGTTCGAATTGGTCACCCTTGGCACGAATTATGGCCTTCAAACGTCCAATTAAACCATCACACGATGCCCGAATGTTGCTCTGTGGTATTTTGACCCATTCCCGGCGAAGCGCTTGTTTGAGGTGATCGACACTTTGGTATTTTGTAGTGCCAACGTTGCTTTCCAAAACGGATTGGTATTCGGAGATTTTGGAGGCCATTGTTCGCTGAATATGAAGCGAGGAACCACATTTTGTAACCTTTCTTGGGTGTCGCATGCTGAGTCCTCTTGTCATTTTTCAATATTTGCCGAAGGGAATATTGCGATATGTTCAGCTCACGAGCAATTTTTCGGCCACTGCGACGCGGGTTTCGATCAAGTCGCTTCTTTACTTTTCGAACCATTTCTGCTGATGTTGCTATTTTCTTCCGTGACGTCGGGATACGCTACCAGTATCACGGTAACTATCGATGGTATGAGATTTATTATGAGATTTATTCACATTTAAATGCTGGAGTGCTCTAACGATACCCACTTGTGGTTTTCCAGCCAAATGTGAGCAGTCTGAGGTTGGTTGCAGTTTTTTCGTCTCACCCTGTATATTCCATTTTTTAAAATATTGGGTGTAAACAATTTAAAGAAAGTCGGACAGTGAGTTCTCACCTGAAATGAGTCATTATTCACCTTTTTGAATTGGATGGGGAAGGTAAAAAAATGTTCCCAAATTGTTAATTTTTGCAACTGTCTAAGGCTCATCTAAATATGAAATTTTGAACTAGATTGGCTGCTTCCATTGTTCGATGTGAGGTTGTTTCTTTTTCTCCAGAAGGAGGTGATCAATATTGCCCTTCTTCGACCTAGTTCTAAGTTTGGTAAAAATATTACAATCTATAAAGTTTGCAACAAACCGGTTACATCCTTCGAAAGTTGTTGTGCGTACAGACAGACGGATATGGCTAGATTGACTAAAAACGTCTAGAAACGTTCAAAGAGGTTGTATCAAATAATGTTAATCCTCTGCAGCCATAAAGCTAAGGGTATAATGAGCTGAAGAAGTGAGAAATCATCAGAAGATTTGTAGTCTAATCTGACTAATGATAAAATTTTAGATTTCTCAAGATTACTTTAGTTTATGATTTACATGAGATTATAATCTAACAAAACCTTAATGGTTTGGAACACAAATATTAAATTACACCCAAAACTGATTTTAGATTATTTCCATATCCGTGTACCACGACTCCAACAAAGTAAATTATTTTATATTCTTCAAAAATTCTTATGTTTTTTATATTCGTCAAATTTTAAATGGAATCACCCATATGCTACCAAGATATTCGTTTAAAATCCCATTTCTTGCAATAGTGCCAAAAAAAAAAGAAAACAAAATATTCTGTACCGTAAAGGAAAACGTTAAAAAGGGTTTGAAGGTCACCAAGTTTGCAAACAACGTTCGTCTTTGCCCTTTGCCACCAACTCATTAATGGGCGAAAGTTAATGAAAGGCGACAAAAACATGATGCTGGTGGCGTTGCTCTGTTGAACCGTCTCGGAAGTGCCAAGCATAGCAGCAGGTGTAAATCAAGTTGGTTGAAACTAAGTTTTGGGTGTTTACTTTGCCAATTAAAATTTGGAAATTCGTTAAAAATTAAATCATAAAATATTTGGATTGACGACATCTTTTGTAAACGACCACCACAGTCCTACAGCCAAATCCGAAATGCCAATTTATTGAGGAACGTGACAAATTCCACAAAAAGAATTTTAACAAATAACGACTAAGCACTTGGCTGCCCTGTGCCAGAGTCGCACTCCTGGTCGGCCGACACAGCTTTAACTGCTTACCAACCAATTAACAAGCCACCAATCAACGTGGATTACTCAACAAATAACGGACCATGGGAGAAAAACCCAGCTGCGGTAGCGGCTACCACAGCCGGAGCCGTTGGAAACACCGGAAATACCGGAAACTCAAATCAAAGTCATAGCACAATTTCTACGAGCAGCAATAGTGGTGGTGGTGGCAGTGGTGGAGCTAACAATAATGCAATGGCGGTCGGAAGTGGTGGCATCGGGGCCAACTCGAACACAAACGCAACACAGTCATCGTTGAAAACAACACACCACCAGCTGATGCAACAGCTGCAGCAGCAACATCAACATCAGCATCATCAACGTCAATTGCAGCACCAGCATAGCATTGCGGCTGTGGGTGGGGGAATGGCTCACATCCACACCCATTCGCATGCTCCTCGGCAGCTGACCCATCAACATTCACATCCACCATTGCAGCAAGCCAGTGGTGGTAATCTAGTGCTTCCTACGACAACCACGACAGTTGTGGGCAATACGGCTCAACAACAACAGCATCAGCAGCATCAACAACAACAGCAGCAGCATCAACAACAACAGCAGCATCAACATCAGCAGCACCAACAACAACAACAACAGCAGCAGCAACAGTCACATCATCATCACACACACCAACAACATGTGACCCATCAACATCAACATCAACACCAGCATCCGCACCAGCACCACCATCACCCCCCACTTCAACATCACATGTCGCTGAATTTGACCAGCAGCGGTGGTGTTGTTAGCATGACTTCCTCGGCCAATGCAATGGCTGCCTCCACCTCTTCCAGCGCGTCATCGGCAGCAGGTATCATTACAACGGCTCACCGCTGTCAGGCCTCAAATGTTAATTCGTCAACCACAATGGCTTCCTCAATGTCGGCAAACACTTTGCCCTCATCCGTCAAGATGGGTGCCCATCACCATCACGGCCGTCATCATTTGACGCCACAGCATAGATCATTGTCACAGCAACATGCTGCTGCAACGCTGAGACGCCGAACTTTGAGTCATGTACCACGTTCCTATTCGGCTTCGGCTGCTGCAACGACAGCTAACTCAGGGGCCAGTAACATGCAGGCAGCTGGAGTCTTTACGAAAGCTCTGATGGGAGCTGGTAAAAATGATGGCGGTGGAGGCAGTGGTAGTTCTGCTGGAGGTGGTGGTGGTGGAGGACTGGGTGGTGGTGGTGCTTCCAGTGGTGGTGGGGATCGCTCACGATGTCGATCGCCCATGATGCTGTGTCACTCGCATAGTGACGGTGAATTTCCTATGTATAAAGGTGAGTTTGATTATAGTATGATGACATCCAGGTTCTAATATTTATTAGAGACATATTTCCTCATCCAAAAAGCTGATTAAAACAAGTTAAAAAGTATCAGTCGGTTTTTGCCGAAGGATGAAAACCCTCAGCTTTTGTCCGTTCATTTAAACCTATTTCGGCATCTACATATAAAGGGTGATTTTTTTGAGGTTAGGATTTTCATGCATTAGTATTTGACAGATCACGTGGGATTTCAGACATGGTGTCAAAGAGAAAGATGCTCAGTATGCTTTGACATTTCATCATGAATAGACTTACTAACGAGCGACGCTTGCAAATCATTGAATTTTATTACCAAAATCAGTGTTCGGTTCGAAATGTGTTTCGCGCTTTACGTCCGATTTATGGTCTACATAATCGACCAAGTGAGCAAACAATTAATGCGATTGTGACCAAGTTTCGCACTCAGTTTACTTTATTGGACATCAAACCAACCACACGAATGCGTACAGTGCGTACAGAAGAGAATATTGCGTCTGTTTCTGAGAATGTTGCTGAAGACCGTGAAATGTCGATTCGTCGCCGTTCGCAGCAATTGGGTTTGTGTTATTCGACCACATGGAAGATTTTACGCAAAGATCTTGGTGTAAAACCGTATAAAATACAGCTCGTGCAAGAACTGAAGCCGATCGAACTGCCACAACGTCGAATTTTCAGTGAATGGGCCCTAGAAAAGTTGGCAGAAAATCCGCTTTTTTATCGACAAATTTTGTTCAGCGACGAGGCTCATTTCTGGTTGAATGGCTACGTAAATAAGCAAAATTGCCGCATTTGGAGTGAAGAGCAACCAGAAGCCGTTCAAGAACTGCCCATGCATCCCGAAAAATGCACTGTTTGGTGTGGTTTGTACGCTGGTGGAATCATTGGACCGTATTTTTTCAAAGATGCTGTTGGACGCAACGTTACGGTGAATGGCGATCGCTATCGTTCGATGCTAACAAACTTTTTGCTGCCAAAAATGGAAGAACAAGATGGCGCTACATGCCACACAGCTCGCGATTCTATGGCCATTTTGAGGGAGAACTTCGGAGAACAATTCATCTCAAGAAATGGACCGGTAAGTTGGCCACCAAGATCATGCGATTTGACGCCTTTAGACTATTTTTTGTGGGGCTACGTCAAGTCTAAAGTCTACAGAAATAAGCCAGCAACTATTCCAGTTTTGGAAGACAACATTTCCGAAGAAATTCGGGCTATTCCGGCCGAAATGCTCGAAAAAGTTGCCCAAAATTGGACTTTCCGAATGGACCACTTAAGACGCAGCCGCGGTCAACATTTAAATGAAATTATCTTCAAAAAGTAAATGTCATGGACCAATCTAACGTTTCAAGTAAAGAACCGATGAGATTTTGCAAATTTTATGCGTTTTTTTTTAAAAAAAAGTTATTAAGCTCTTAACAAATCACTCTTTATTTATTATTCATCATGTTGAGCCTTTTTGGGGAAGGTTGCGAAGTAGGAGGAGTTATCAGAGAGAGTGGGCAGAAAAATTTATTCATATCAGATCTCTTAAATATTTAAAATTGCCATCGTTTGTGGGGGAGGTACCACAAGCGGTAGGCCAATATCTATCATCTTCACACCATATCTTGTGTCAGTAGCAATTAGGCGCTTATTTTGCATTTTTAGGGCGTTTTGTTATTAAAAATTTGATCTTTCTGACCCTTTGTGGGGGAGGTACCAGAAAGAGTGGACCTATATATTCCATTTTCACATCGGACCTTGGGTTAATAAAAATATTGTGATGTGTGTAATTTGAAGACAATCAGACACTTACATCACATTTTATAAGAGTTATAATTGTTCAAAATTTTGAACCTTTGTGGAGGGAAGTACATTATGGAGTGGACCGATATTGTCCATTTTCGCACCTGACGTAGCACTGACGCAAATATTAGGATTTGCAAAGTTGGAGCAAAAGCGGATTATCCTTTCTCTTTCTGTGCTGTAAATTATTTTCTTAGAAAATGTTGACATTTTGTGGGGGAGCTGCCAGAAGGAGTGGACCGATACTACCCATCTTGGAACTCGATCTAAGTGTAATAACTCTATTACGATGTGCCAAATTTACAAACGAATCTTAAAGCTCCTGTTTAATTTCAGCAAATTATTCCTACTTCCTAACATTGACTTTTTGACACCCAGACCATGACCTCGCCATGGTTGAATGGCACAAATTATAAATCTACAATACATTCTACTCCACAAAATCGGATTATGTCTCATATCCATTATTCTTAAAACTTCCATCCTCAAATCTCCTTTTAAGAAAGTATCTTTGTATATCAAGTTTGTTAGCAATAAGTATCGTCACTCCTCCTCGACGTTAAGTTTTTGTCCACTGCTCAACTGGCAGAGCAAAATATTAAAGCAAGAGATTTATAAATGACTGGCATTATTCCACCCGTCATCTATCAGGGAGATCTCTGAAGGGCATAAAAATTGAAAATCCTCTTTAAAAAGTTCAAAATTAAAAACTATTATAATCGATGACAGCTACCACCAGTAAACGCCCCCATCCTCTATTTTGAGCAGTTGCTTCCTACGAAAGAAAATATTAATGTAATTAATCATTGGAAAATCTGAAGTGAGGTTAGGTGTTGCTCAAGCATTTACATCAGCTTTAATATTTACATTGAAGAAGGTTATAACAGAAAAAAACGTTAAACAAACGTTTCCTCCTCTTTTCACAGGAAAAAGTACTTCGTTTCCTTTTTGTTGTAGTCCCTACAAGTGGTCCCATAGAAATGTTATGGGAATAAACAACCACTAATGCGAATTAAATTTAAGTTTAAAACACGAGTGGCAAATCTAACACATAGGAAGCCATACACACACACGCATTTACGAACTTTTTAACCCATACCCATGCATCAATGACGCGTTGAAATACATAGGAAAAAGAGTCGGGGACATTTACGCCAGTATTTATTTAATTCTCTATTATTTTTGGCTTTATTTTATTGCCTTTCGTTTCCATATCTTATTGTACGGCTTTATTGCGCTCTCACCGTAATCCTGCATAGATTTCCATACTAAGCCACACCAAAATGGCCAATAAATATTGTATAAATCTGAAGGTCATTAAACAAAAGAATTTCATTTATTAATTGGATTCCAGTAACACAAACTCCAAGAAATATGTCTGGAAAACGATTCGATGAAGGTTACGAATCTTGTACATTTGGTAACAAACATTTATAGAAGTTCTTTGTCATTCACTATAAGTTCACTGAATTTTCAAAAGAATTGACTATTATTTGGCAGTTTGTATGAAAATTTGACTCTAGAAATTGGTTCAATACTGATTCACGTTTGACAAAAGATCTATATAGTGGAAACAACCGATTTTATCTTTTTTAGAGGTCCTGGAGAGATCTTCCAGGCGAAGTTTCTAAAATTTGATGTTCGATATCTTGGCTCATTTTGAGTTTGTGAGCTATGTTCGAATCGGTCTGATTTTTTTGTATTTAGGGTATTATATATCCTGATTATGGAAAAATAATTTTTGGTAAGGAAATGACCCGTTTACTGAAACAAAATTTCGGACTCTAAAGGTGAGTAATATCTGATTATAACGAACCTTAATATACAATATAGGTATCATATTTTCTATGGAAATATCCATCCAAAATATGAGGGCATTATTTTTACCCATTTGGGGAGTAATACAAAAAATCTATATTCTCGTGCCGACATTTTTTGAAACTTAACTAGTTGCGAAATCTTATTTTTTAGATAAAAAAATGGTTTAATGTCCATCAAGCTTTTGGAATAGCCTCATGGAAAAGTATCACTCAATTATTAGTCTTTCCAACTAAATGGCCCATATCTCGGTATTTTTGGTTCGTAATCGGTAAAATGGTTATTGCCAAAAATATGAATTATTATTCTTGATTCTCATATCATTTAGAGTTCTAGAGGAGAACCAATTTGGGCACAATTTAAGTATTTACATAAAAAAATCCGCCACCGTAAATTTTGTTATTTTGCAACTGCCCAGTGGTCCAACGGTGGTATTGAAACTTATCGATCGGATATTAACCGTGAAGTTTAATTATGAGCGAATGTAATAGAATAATGTAAATAAAATATTATGAAAATATGATGATATCATCATGTAGACATAGTCCTCCCCACATAACTGAACCCTCCGAATTGAAGAAATTTTCTGATTTTAGGTACATTTTTTTTAAAGGACTGTAATTTGATATTTGTTGTTTTTAAAGGGTATCCTATTTCCTTGAAAAAAAAAGACTAATAAAAATAATTTGAATCCATATTTTGAACACAGATTTTAATTCTAAGAAGCGGTTTTTTCGATCTACCGATGACCGTCTGTCCGTCCATCCATAAGTCTGTCTGGTGCGTACGATAAATCTGGAAGGTACTCCCTTCCGATTTGATGCAAACTTGGTATATCGTAATATTATGATGAAACTTTGATCGAGTTCGGAGATTGGTCCACTCCTTCTAATAGCTCTCCCACAAAATGTCAACATTTTCAAAGAAAATAATTTACTGCACAGAAAGTGAAAGGATAATCCGATCTTCCTCCAACTTTGCAAATCCTAATATTTGCATCAGTGCTAGGTCAGGTGTGAAAATTAACAATATCGTTCCTCCCCCACAAAGGGCCAACATTTTAAATAATCATAACTCTTATAAAATGTGATGTAAGTGCCCGATTGTCTTCAAATTACACACATCCCAATGTTTTTATTAACACAAGATCTGGTGTGAAGATGGAATATATCGGTCCTTCCTTCTGGTACCTCTCCCACAAAGGGTCAAAATTTTGAATATTCATGAAGCTCATAAAACATGAAATTAACACTCGAATCCATTCAGACTTGGCACATCTCAATATTTTCATCAACACAAGATCTATCATAAAGATAGTAGAGATCGGACATTTCCTTCTTGCACCTGCCCCACAAAGGGTCAAAGTTTTGAATACCAAAAACCATCATAAAATACGAAATAAGCATCTGGTTGACACCAAATTTGACACATGCCATTTTTTTACTAACACAAT